GGAAACACTGTTGTAGATGACCTGGGAACTAAGGTTCACTTAAAGTGGGAATTAAACATCTTTTTCAACTTGAAATATATAGTCAAAAAGAAGTGTTCATGACACCGAATCTGTACCAATGTCATGGACCATAAGCATCACTTGACCACTAAGTGTAGTTTGGGCTCTTCCTCAGTGCATCCTATAAGTGTTGTCATATGTCTTTCACACATTCAGTTTTTCTTCATTAGTAAAATGCAATTTTCTATAGGAGAAGTTGAATCATGTAGAACAGGTTAAGTAAAATATTAACATCCAGTAGCGCATAAATATAGCAAAATGCTCTACATCGCCAATGGCGACCTCAGCAAAAACTTCACTCGCAAATTAATATTTTTCACTCGCATTTTAGTCGCAGTCTGGAGCCCTGCAAATGATAAACTTTTTGTGACGCCGCGGCAGTGGCCCGATTGGGCCAGTGACAAATCCGTCAACTGTCCTGAGCATCTTTCACGCTGGCCCCGGGTCATCAGGCAGTCCTTATTGTCGAGCCCTGCATCATGCAGATGATATTTTTTACTATTGGTATTTCCATTACACAAACTATATCTGGCATTTAAATAGAAAAATATAAATAAATCCATAATTGTTAAAAGCATATAGTTTGAAGCAGAAATATTTAAAAAGCTAGTGTAATTTTTGTATTCAAATAAATTAAATCATTTTGCTTGTAAATGTTTCCTCATATCCCTTTATTAAGAAAACAACAAATGATTTGATCAATTTTCATTGCACCCAAGTTCTTTGTGCACTCCTACATTTTTAAAGCAGGAGCACTAGTGCTTCTTGGGGAAAAAAGTAGCATCAAGCCCTGTTAGTGTATTGGCCAAATATGGATTCATTGCTGTGCAATTAATGTTTAAACATCAGCAGTCTCTTAAATCCCTAGATGATGTGTGTGTGGTTCCAGTTATGAAGTCATATATTGAGTAGTTTGCAAACTAATGAACAGGATCACATGTGAAACATGCTGTTTCTTTGATCTGGTGTGTGCCTGCAAGCTCAGATTCCCCTTCTCATACCTCTCTGACAGCTAAAGTGTGTGTGCATTCTGTTTGTGTCCTGTGGATTATCGTCTGTTACTAGGCCCAGACGGAATCACAGGATTTTCTGCTCTGATTTAGGGGTAAATTTGTGGAATACTGTGGAATGCATTTAAATGTCTTAAATACTCCAAAAGTGCTGCACTTTTAATTGGTAACTGAAAACATATTACCAAAACTTTATGAATACAAACTAGAACTTTGCTAATGATTGTATTTTTCTGGAAGTATGTGAGATTTCCTGTAGAGTTGTGTGTACGCCGAATCTGTGCGGGTCTGCCTCTTAAACTTGCGGCTGGCACAGTGTGTAACCTGTTTGTTTGTTTGTGTGTGTTTTCAGTGCTGAAAGGTTGTTAGTGAGTTTCGTGAGTGATATTATGTTGCCATAAGGTGAGTTTGCATTGACAGTGCCAATAAATGAGTATACAAAGACCACTGCAAATGAAGATCAGAAAACAGATAACTGGAGACACATGATGGGAGACACGCGCGTGGAAATTAATTGCCAGGAAGTCGGTGGTAATTTGAATTGCAAATGGACACCAACTTGTTCCCCGACTTGAATGATTAATATTTTATTGTTTTACTGAGTGAAAATGCCACAAGTGTTTTTCATCAGAAACAAATAGCACAAAGGAAGAAAAAAGAGAGATTGGCTTAACTGATAATAATGAGTTGCAAGGTAATGAATATAGTCTCCGAGCATTAATTTTGGTGTGTGTAGTAGGGCTGGGCAGTATATCAAATATTATTTGTTTTTATGGTAATTCTTCTGTGTAAAATTTAGCAACATATCACAATTATTTTTAAAGGTCTTTTAAGTTTCCTAAAGGATACACAACTTGCGAGTATAAAAGCAAACGACAAATTTCATATTGTCTGTTGCTTTTATATTGTCAGTTTTAAATGGAATAGAAAATGTGGTGACTTGATAAGTTTAAGTTCTGTTAATAAAATTAATTGGAATCAACTGATTCCAATGATGCACTGAAATGCTTTCCAAAACAGGAAAAAAAGCCCGCCAGTGCCTATTTTGTACACACAATGTGGATAAGTTATAACAGACATAATATAGGACACACTGGACTGCATAAACACTTCAGTTACCCAAATTTAATTCATATAAATAAATTTTTTGGCTGAATAAAACTAATTTAGTGTTTTGTTAAAAAAACATGGGGAAAAAATGGTGCATTACTAATTGATGTAAAACTCTGATTTACCTAACATTTGTCGCACCCAAAAATACTAATTTGTCAAATTTTGAATGATATAAAAAAATGGACATTTGTAGCAGAAAAAAATACTTTTTATTACCATGTATTATTATTTTGCTGCATACAAATTGTTAAATATCCTTTCTTGTGTTCAAGACTTGTATATTTTTAAATGCATTTTACTTAAACATTTTTTTCACATCTACTTGGCTGAAATGACTGTTCCGTCAAAACGGCTCCTCTAATTGGACAAATTATTCTTTTAAGCAATCTATAAGCAAAAATATAAATATCAAGGTTTATTTTTTGTTTTGTTAAATAGCTGAAAAATATTGGGTTATATTTTAACTATCACCCAGCTTTAGTGTGAAGGTGGGAAATGGATGAGTTGCTCTGTACTTCTGAAAAGTTTTGAATTGACCTTTTCCCTCTCCTAATATTTAATTTTCTTATCTCCTCCCCACAATACACTGTTTTGCACTTTGTTAATTTTTTTTCTCCACCATGTACTCTTCCTCTCTCATTCTCGGTTTCAAATCGTCGCACAATTTACAGAAGGTTCCGCCGGGCCGTGGTCTATCCTTTCAATCAGATGCTAATTAGGGGAAAGGAACGTCTCCGTCTCTCTCGCTCACAGACGAAGGGACGTGCAGGTTGAGTGGGAAAGTGGAAAGAGGAGCAGAATACGGTAAAAAATGGAGAGAGGAATGGGAGATGAAAGGGTGATGAGGTCGCTTCAGATTGAGAAAAGAGAGGATAATACTTTTCTTTAAAGTTTAGCCAAAATCAAAGGTCCTCCAGTCACCGTGTCTGGGAAATGTTCAGCTCTTCATAACTTTGTGATCTAACCGCAGAAAATCTTGCTGTTCTGTGAAGTAAATTAAAAAGTTACCTAAAAGTGACGTATTTTAATAAAGACGTTTCTACCCAGCTCATGCCCGAGAGGGCCTTTGACCATGTGTTCTTTAAACATTTATAAATGTCATTCATGAAGCGAGAAATTTGCTTTTCTGCTTTAATTGGTTATCAGTCACAAGCTTCCCTTGGACTGTTTTTACATCCATTAATTAGCCCTATTAATGACTTACTGTACTGTTAGATAAGTGGTTAGTTTGGTGTTTCTGGTCAGTTCATTAATGGCTAGGGTGTATCCAGCTAACGATTAAAGTGCCTTAATTAGCAGTGGCTAGAGGAAAAATAAGGATTAGTCCTGAGGTTCTGTTTTATTTATTTATTTTTGGTCTGAAGAAAAAAGATTGAAAAGGTTTAAGGTTCAGAGGTTTGAGGGGAAATGAACAAGAGAGCCAATAGAATGATGAATGTGCTTTTCTCCTGGAAAAGAGAGGGAGGGCTGTTTCACACAAGAGGAAAAGAAGAAATAGTTTTTTTCCTCCAGCATTATAAACATGTAGCTTTGACGGATTTAAACTCGCTGTAGTTGCTGATGACTTGAGTCCTCTCAAGTCTTCAGAGGTCTGGCTTTTAGTCTGACACCGGTGGCAAATGTAGACGTGCTGAACTAGATATCAACAAAACCGAGATCAAACAGTACATAAGATGTGGTGGTTTGTTTGATTCTGCATATTTTTGTGGTTCGTACATATGTTCAAGAAAACTGTAAACCTTTTTTGCCATTGTACAAAATCATCTCTGGCTTTTTTTGGTTTGTATGTAGAACAGTATGGAATTGTTTGCAATTACTGAAGGTGGATGTTAATAGTGAATCAGCTATCTGATCTCTTCACTCAGTATGACTTTAAAACACTATTTATTAATTTTTTAATAATAATGTAAATATATCCTTTTTGTTAAGAAATATTGAATTCATTTATATCCATGAACTACTACAGACAATTTAATACTACCACTACATCTAATATGCAGTGTTGTATTGGTTTTATTTAAACTGCTTATATATCAAATTGTTAATAGTGAATCCGTTAATAGTGAAACCCTGGTCACTTCACTCACCATGACTTTAAAACATTAATTTTTTTTAAATAATGTAGAAATTAGAGGTCGACCGATGTATCGGTTTTGCTGATTAATCGGCCCCGATAGTTGATTGGTGAAACTATCGGTTATCAGCAAAAATCCATGACTATAGTTTTTCCTGGTTGTGTCCATTGCTGGAGCCGCTGAGAAGGTCCTCTTTATACATAAAAGTCCCTATAGTCTTTGTTATACAGCACAAGAGTGGCCTAGAGGTGGAAATCACTGACAGCACTTGCAGTTTGTTTAGATGCGTGATACTGCCGGCTGCACAGAGCACTTCAGAGGCGGATTTAAAACATAGACAATTAAACGGTGTGTGTACACCGTATACTGTAGTGAATGTTTTCATATCATTACTAAGTGATTAATTTGTTGAATAGATTTTATTTTCTGTTCAGTATCCATTTTAAAAACTATCGGTTAATTAATCGGTATGAGCCAGTGTGGGCCAACTTAGCTATCGGTATCGGTAAAATCCAATATCGGTTGACCTCTAGTAGAAATATACTGTGTTATTAATAAAATAATGATTTTATTTATATATTGAATTATTAATTGTTGTACATTAACTACTAAAGACAATCTTATACTACTACTAATAATGTTGTTTTAATTAATTTTTTTTAATTATTTTCGAAGAATGAAGTTTAAAGCTGTTTGAAATAAATTCTGAATCTGTTTTTGCTTTGTTTTCTCTGCTACAGATTGTAAAGCTAATGAACTGGACGACTCACTGAAAAACACGTCAAGATTATGCCTGCATTCCCTCTGGGTTACGCTGAACACGAGTGTGTGCCCGGATCCTGGCGGCGGCTGTGAAATCCACCCTCCACCTACCCCACCCTCAACGTTCAAAACTGGCGATGTCCAGGGTACCGAGTCCGCCCCCTCCTGCAGAAATGACCAGCGGCCCTGTGGCCGAAAGCTGGTGTTACACACAGGTGAGTGAGTGTGTGTGTGTGTGTGGGGGGGTTCTGGGTCAGTCGGTGAAAGTGTATACTCTGCGACAGGGGTGCTCAATTCTGATGGTCTACCTTCAGAGTTCGTTCCATGTCTAATCAAACACACCTGAACCAGCCAATCAAACTTCATGGGTTTACTTGAAAATTACTGGCAGGTGTGTTAGACCAAGGCTGGAACTAAATTGTGCAGGAAGCTAGATCTTACAGGTGCAGATCTGAGCACCACTGGTGTCCCAGACACATATTAAGTTTCGTTTGATGCTAAAAATGGCCAATCAACAGGACCATGTGGGATTGGCATCCTTTTTTATCTGCTGAATAGAATTAGAAGTAGTTTTGAAATAACATTTTAAAGGTAAAAATTACCTTGTGGTAATTAACCCATGTGTTGATTTTAAACAACACATGGGTTGTTTATATATAAATCCCTATGACTTCATTTTGTGGAACACAAAAGGAGTAGTTTATAAGAATGTTAATGTTGCTCTTTTTCATTCTAAAAAAATAAAAATACAGTTACTGGGGCAGTGAAGCTTCATAAAGGACCAAAACACACCATTAAAAGTCACTCAAGTTTTCTACAATTATTTTTTAATATTTTTGAAATACATTTTTATGCTCACCGAGGCTGCATTTATTTAATCAAAAATAAAGCAAAAACAGAATAACTGTTTTCTGTTTTAATTACTGTTTTCTATTTAAATATATTTAAAAATGTAATTTATTCTTGTGATGGCAAAGTGATCCAAAATTATTCTAATATGCTGATTTGGTGCTCAAGAAAGATTTCTTATGTTGAAAACACTTGTGCTGCTTAATATTGTAGAAACCGTAATACATTTTTTGTTTTGAGATTCTTTGAATAGAAAGAAAATTCGAAAGAGCAGCATTTATTCAAAACACAAGTCTTACCAATATTTGATATACATATAAATAATATAAGCATTACTAAACCTTATATTTGTTTGAGAAAGCATCTTTGTATGCACCTGAATGATCTGAGTATGTGTCTGTTTGTCTAAAAATATGTAATGGCCATTATCTTCTCTGTGTTTTGAGTGTGTGTGACTTCACAGGACCCTCCATGTGTTCAGAATCCCCACGACTAGTGCAACATGTTCCATTAATGCTTTCATTTATCTTGCCATCATTCTCCCCCAGTGTTTTTGTTTGAGGTCTTTTTATTCCTTGCTCTCCCCATCCTGTTTGTTGTCAGAGCGCATTAAGATAAAAGGCGGTTTTGATGTGTCGCTTTTTGATGTCTTGGCCAATACTTGCGGATCTAATGTAGGAAAGGGGGAAAAAAGTAGATGGATAAATGGAAGAATGAAGTGTCTTGTCTGTTATCTTCTTGTGTGTTTGTGTTTGTCCAGATCAAAGTGGTTAAGTTCTCCTATATGTGGACTATCAACAACTTCAGCTTCTGCCGGGAGGAGATGGGCGAGGTCATCAAAAGCTCCACCTTCTCCTCGGGGGCCAATGACAAGCTTAAATGGTAAGACAGGGAGGAGCGCACATGGATTTGCATAATAATTTAAGTTGTTGTTTTTTTTTTTCAGATAAAAGTTTAGACTAAAGCCCTATTCGCACGGGATTAGTATTACCTGGTGACCTCCAGTCATTTGTAATAATTGCGGAGGTTGTCTGTGATCTTAATCCCGTGCGAATCGGCCATGTCTGTAATTTGTAAAGTAAAAATTCCCCCGCAAATGACCTAGCATATTTCGCCGAATATCGAGGTCCTGTGCTAATATTAGTCCCGTGCGAATCGGCATCTCTGTGATTCGGCCAGCATTTGGCAGGTCGTATATCATTTTTCCAGGTTTTTGTTTCCTGTGCGCCTTTTTGTCCATCTTCCGCGAAGAATGGAGCTGCGTTGGAGTGTTTGATAGTGTTTTGGGTGCTGTCATCATATCATTACACCATACAATTTGCAAAAAGAGAACACTGAAAAGGTTTTGAGGTTAATGTGTTACAAATAAATCAAGCACAAAGCTTGAGATATTATTTTAACCTGGTGAAATGTAAATGACACAGGGCACGAAACTATATTAGTTTTTTTTTTTTTTTTTTTTAATTCCCTCTGG